CAATCCTTCGGTTCTCTTAGGAAAGACTTCTTTGATGCGGCACATGCCATAGGCTGGGTACACGCACGGAAAGCAAGCGGAAAGTCGAGGGATGCGGACGTCTGGAAAGCACGTGGGTCCACTTGTGGGGGAAGACAAGAAGGGCCTGGTAGACATAATATGTTGAGTTGAAAGACAAAAGAGGCACCAAAAAAACGACGAGCCTTTGGTAAAACCATGGAACGGCTGGCATCTGGAGAGGCTCCTGATCTATGAAAAAATTGAGACCTCATCAAAGCAACCATCCGAGCCCGCCTTATCTGTGGGACCTACTTTATCGTTTTCTGTGATTGAAAAGGGCAGGGATCACTGAAAAAGACAACTCATTACAGGACCCTCGCTTAAACACATACAACGGTTCGAGACCGGCAGTTGCTTGAGGAACTTGAACCTGAGTGCCGCATGCGTTAGCGCAGGGACAGCCCTTCGGCTTGAAGCGAAGGGATGGTGACATACGGCAGTTGCAAGCCTTCTACACGAATCCAACATTTTCTCCAGCAAGCCCAAGTCCAGGAAGTTGATAAGAGCAACCGTCCGTTGAGCCCCAAGGCATGCGCGATTCGGACGGTATCCCGCCTTCTGTAAGAAAGACAAGGGGTGACTGAAGCAAAGCTCCAGCACGATCCATCGCTGCCAGCAAATCGATGCGTTGCACTCAGAAAATGCTGTTGTTTTCATGATTTTTATGCTGAATAGTAGATTGTTGCAGCACTTTTGGAGCGTGATTAGAAACAAGATAATCATCAGCTCGGCCACTCTCCCAAGCAAGCATTGCCACCGGCATCCTCATCAACGAGACGTATGTCAGAGCCTAGCGACACGTGGCGACACGCTAACCTACTGGAGTTAGCGACGGAATTCACAACAGTAGCAATACAACCGGTTGCCCAAGCCACTCTGCTCAGGAGCGTAATGTCTCCCGACTTAACATGGTTTGATTGAGACTGGACCAACAGTAATCTCAGTATAGCATTCCGAAGGAAGGAACATAGCAGCTTCGAGGAAATATGGCTTCGAGAAAATATGGCTGGGTCGGAGCCTATTGCCGGTACTATCATAGCTGATCCTTTCGCCTTCAATTTCGAAACAGCGTTGCAGGGTCCGGAAATCTGACGAGGTCGAGCAAGGACTCTTAGAACGTCCAATCTAAGGAAGATGAAGGAGCCGAAGCGGCCGGGCAAAACTTCTTCCACAGAAGCTCAACAAGCTGAAGTAGCAGCCTAGAACATACGCAATCCGGAGCGAGACCCGAAATGTAGAAGAAACAGGCGGAGCTTCTCCCTGGCCATGAAGCTCGTGCTCGAAATCTCGAATTCAAGAAAGACGAAGTGTTCACAATCTCGCAGGAAAGACGTGACGAGCAGACAGTCAAAGGAGTTGATCCAAAGCTATGACTAATTTGCGACGCTTAATAAAAGGATGCCAAAAGCAGAAAGGTTAAATCTTACCGGCATTGACATGAGGCAAAAACTCGAAAAGAGATCTGGAATAAAGCAGGTGCGCGAAGGAGTTCATGGCGACACGAACTTTGGTGCGCGGTTGCAAGTTCACACCAGGACAAAGCTTCAGGGAAACCGGATGAGGCGACGCGCCTTCCTAGCTCCCTGAATAGGAGAAGGAGCCGAACCGTTGCAATCCAACTGGAGAAACCGTTATCGAACTCCTCGACAAGTTTGGTTCGTCATAACTAGGAGGAGGACCTGAAGTCAAAAACGTACGCACCGGCTTCAGAATGAGAACGAGGTAGGGGCTTGTGAAACGACGTTTCACGGCAGTCATTGCTTCAGAACCGTATACGAGAGAGCCATCGGGTTAACTTCAGGCGATGGAAAGGGTTGATTGGCTATGCTCTATTGATTTGCATAGAAAGTCTAGCATCAGCCATGACCGCCCACACTTGTGGCCCTTCGTGCCAGCACATGCCCAAATTCTTGCATCAAAACCATGTTGGCATGCATGATCAAAGAAACTGCAGACAAATTTCTTCAGACATGGCGGTCTTCAAATTGAGGGTAGCGTATTCGACATGTAGCTTCACAAAGCGTGCAGAGTCTAGAAGGAAAGAGTGACTCGGAATGCAAGCAACTTGTAGGAAAGGGCTACGCCGTAGCATAACACGTGACGACAACAGCATGCACGAGATAGACATAAATACAGATGGCAATCCATTTGCCACTTGAATAGTATCGACCGGCGCCGCTGGATTCTCCGGATGTGGCCCGCGAAAAAGCACGCAGGGGGTGAACCATCGTTGCCATCGTTTTTGACACCATTTCTAGTCAAGCTTGAGACATAGGGAAGCAGCCAATAAGACAAACTTGGTCATACACTTCAGCCCTGAGATCGTCTGATGGGCTGCCCTTGCAACCGGACCAGAGACATCATTTTGTTCTTTACTAGATTGATCCACACGAACTTAAGTGTACGGGTTTAGTCTTCCGTCATCGTCGTGTACTGGAATTACGCCACATTCCAAGTGACCTTAGCCGGATGAATCGAACGTTTTACAGACGCGCATAAGCACAAACAACAACCACAGTAGCAGACAAAGAACCACGGCTTCTGCCGAGCAACAACGCTTTGCCACCGTAGCGCCTGGTTTGTAAGTGCACCTAGACACAATGAACGGCCGGCTTCCGCAACGGACAATCTTCCTGATGATTGAAGCAGGGCCTCTGCGAGCATCCCATCACAGCCAGCCCTTCTATGCGGTCCACATCCGGCAACTTAATCTTTCAGTGGACCCCTTCGCTCTTTGCTTCAACTTGAGGGATATTCAGGAATTGTTCAAAGCGTTTGACAGCCCAGGGGACCCACGTGGAGCAAACTGACTGAGACTCGACCGTAATTTTGGGACTCGACCATAAGCTGAGACTCCACCATAAGCTGAGACTCGATCACAAATTGACTTAGATCATACGCCGAGACTCGGACATGAACTAGCATGCGAACCAAAGTTCTGTCAATCGGTGTTCGCTGTTGCTTAAAGCAGGGCTTCAGGGTAGTGCATCACTGCCAGTGTTTTCGAACCAATTCAACATCAGGACGATTTAGGCATGGACGAGCCTAGCACCCGCACAGTCGCTTGGACTAAGACGGTGGCTCCTCGGGGCTGTTCGCCGGGCCTTTTCCTCTCTAATGTAACAGGGGCTCAGGCAGCGACCCCTTTGCTCTTGAGCTCGTTTAGTTGGCGGAAAGGGGAATCAGATAGTTCTGAACCCACAAGGCGGCCAGTTTGGCGAAGAACTTAAAATCGTTGAGCTGGTCGATCACAGCTCTTGCGCAGCAACGAAGGTCAACATAACGCTAAGGTGACCATGAGCAAGTCAATCAATTCGCAAGGTGAGCAAGCAAGGTAAGCAGGAGCAAGTGCAAACGGCGGACGCTCTCCCCATCAAGGCCACATTTTGCTTGTCCGAGCTGACGTCACTAAGACGTGGGCCTATTCGTGACCGTCTACTTGTAGCGACCAGCAGACTCGAGGGCCTCGGAGACAGGAACTGAAACGGATGTGCGGAGTCCGCACTGCGACTCTCGTCATGGCCGACCATTCTATCCGAGAGCATCCAAGAATATTGTATATGGACCTAAGAAGCGCTTGCGCCGGCCCCTTCGGGTACCAGGGGCGCAGTCCGCTCTTAGCTGCTGACAGCGGAGGTCAAATCCATTGCGCCAAGTCAACTGAGACAAGGACAGCAATGAAGAATTCAAGAAGCGCAGGAACCCAAATTTCTGAACAGGAGCAAACGCGCATGCTTGCGTTCATCTGGATGAAACTATATCCTGCAAACCTCTACAGGAACCTCGTGTAAAATTCAACACCGAAAGAGCTTCAGTTCACAAATGCCTGCCTCGAAATGAAGCAGTGCACCGGCATGCTTCACAGCGGATGGCGTTCCAACAAAGTGCAAGCACTTCGACATCTCAGATGCCAGGCAAGCCAACCTCATCTCTAAATGTTTCTGGCCTCCGTCCAAAGGGCATGGCAATGTTGTAAGCGAGTATTCAAAGATGTGGGCTTCCTGTCAGTCGAAGTTCACAGATCAAAAAGCAAATGCACGTCAAGCGCCGGCTTCTGCAATCTTTGGATGTGTGACCTCGTCGGCCAGTTGTCTTCCCCGCCAGCACGTTCCGGAAGCAGATGCGAAATTAACGCAAGTAGGACCAGCGATAGCAATTCGCAAAGCGCACTTCGCCTCCCCTTATGGGATTGTCAAAAACCCAAACAATAATGCATGTCAAGCGACGGCTTCCGCATGAATTTGAGGTGTGACCTCTAAGGCCATTTGTCTTCACAGCCAGCCCGTTCCACAATGAGAAAGCCGAATCAATGTGAGTTGGACCACGATAACAACTCGTAAAGCAGCAGTTCGCCTCCACTTGAGGAACTGAAATGAGCTCTCAGCAATGAGTTGCGTGATCATACTGAAAGAAACCTTGTTTCTCTCGCCGCTGCAATAAGCTTGCGTAACCAGACGAATTATCTTTGTGACCGAGCATGGGCCCATGTTGACCTCAGGCGACACACAACACGGCATCAAGGAGAAAAATGTCTGCCGAGACTGGCAGCTGGCACATATCGCAGCCACCTTCGTTACTGCAGCAGGTAAGTTGAAGGAAAGCAACGTAGCAATCAAAGACCACCGGAAGGGAAAAGCGTGGGATTCGATTGTTACGGGCCAGGTCAACGTTTCACGAAAGACAGAACCTCGGGCTAAAAGAACAGCGTATCTGGAACTCACACGACAGCAGACGCAGCTTGTAACTGTCACCAACTGCTTCCGTCTGCAGCATACCTTCCATGCGCACTGCTCCCATTAATTCCTTTCAAGTTGAGTCGTTACGCGAAAAGCAGTCAAACAAGAAAAAACAGACACCAAAGAGAAATGGGTTTATCACCATGGGCACGCTCGGGGTTAACTGAGTCAGCCATCATTTGGCGTGCTGGTGTTGATTGGAAAGCGGCAATTGGAACGGACAGAAGACGGACTTCGCCGAACAGCTTACAAGGCGTGACTGTTCTGTTAGCGTCGCCACTTGACTAGTGTTTTATTGTTTTGTACCTGGCTTTCAGTAATCAGATTTTTGGTCTTACAACTGTGCTACGCTCCGCGAATAACACGAAGCGTGTGTGGTTAAGATGGAACGCACCCCGGAGCAGCGCATACCAGACCTGGGGCACCTAGCCCTATGCTCTATCCCAGGATGAGTCATCGGATGCAATTGTGCAATGTTAGGAGGGGTTTCCTGGCTATCAGCGCAAGTATCGTTGATCCGTGTGCATTAAGCTACGCAGCCAAACTATAACGGCTTCTGCTCTTATACGAGTTACCTTCACTTCAAAAGCAACTAGACAACTCAGTAGCTTACCGGGAGCAACGGACAGTTCTCTTATCTTTTCTCTCGAGCTTGGTCGGGGCAGGTCGAAAAGGGCGTTGTTACTACAGCAACCCAGACCCACGAGTCCCGGTTCAATCGAAGTTCGGCCAACTGCAACAAAGCCGAAAAGGCCCGTTAGATGGAGACAGCTGATCCCTTCTTTCAAAAAGCGAATCACGACAAATCGACAGAACTGTTGCAAAGAAGCCAAAGTACAGGTTGGGATGTCCTAGACGGGACAGGGTGCAGGCTTCTTCAAACTTCTCTACTGTTTAAGCCGAACCATTATTGACGAACAGCATGATTGGCGAATCAAGAAGCCGACCGGCAGCAGTTTTAGGTTCAGGCAGTGGAAGTCGAAGCGAACAGACTGCTGAAGCAAGCGAGCGAGCGCTCTGCGGGTTGGCAGAAGTAGAGGCGCAAGAAAAGAGTAACGGAGACAGACACGATGGGGTTTTCCTCACCCTTCCATCCCTGAGAAGGTAGACGGCGGACGTGGGGCTCACGGAAAGGGGCCGGGATGGCGCGACCTGCGATGAAAAGAGTAGTCAAAGGCTGGATAAAAAGTTTTGAAATTGCTTTGAACTTAAATATTTCTGACTGGACTTGGTATAAGGACGTGTGCAGCGCTTTCATTTATTCCGCTGGCTGCTGTTGGCACGTGCAACTCTTGCGAGTCTGCACGAAGGTTCGGCGCATTGGACCGAGAAAGCGACAGGCAAAAGCGTACAAGCAGCTTCTAAGGTGCTGGCAAGATGTTCAGACATCTCCGGAATGGGGATCCTACTGTGTTATAGCAACTTGCAAAGTAGCGGGACCTTTACGATTTTCCCTCCCGTACTCTACATCGAGCTAGTAACCAACAGGTCTAATAAAAATTATCTGCCAGCATTGGGCTTACCGTTGGGTTACATACGGGGTCAAGAAGTGGGTCCGCCGCTCCGTTTGTTCGCGCAACGGACTTTGACGAACCGGTGTCCCGTCGTTGGAAAGCGGTCAGCCAGCCGGAGTCGGCGGGCAGATTAGCCACGTTCGGGTAACCGTGGCTAATCCACGACCAGCCCTGCAGGAGCAGAACGGAAAAAGTGGGCCTTGGCGCAACCTGGAAATTCTCTTGTACAATTTGTAGAGTTCAGCTTATTTGCACGTCTGCAGTGTCCCTTCCTTAATCCTTGCAAAACCAGGTCAATGCAGTCAAGCTGAGAGATGTAGCATGCTTCTGATTAGCAGCGCACGTCCAATACTGGACCGTCGCGGAAAGTGAGCATCAGAAAGTACGGTCGTCCGATTCTTGAAGCACCCTATAGGTCGAGGAAATCGAAGAAACATCATCCCATGATCGTGTTTGCGTTTGCAAGATTAGGGTTGCGTTGACAATCCTCCACATTTTAAGCCAAAAAGGTGCAATGTCGAACTCTCGAAAGACGAGCAACCATCCTTGTTTCGTCCGCTTCGGAAGGGAAGAGTGGTCTTTGGTTACCCAGAAACATGACGTGAGGCATCACAGCAACTCGAAAACTTTCGCCAGAATTCGACTGCTTACCATCGTGGGTAGAAACATAGGAGTCTAAGAAAGCTTGCATACTCGGAATCTAGTTTCCGGCAACCCCTTCAGCAGGCCTTTTTCCGGCGAGAAAGAGTTATCTCACACGTGCTTAACAACAGTGCTGAAGCTAATAGTAAAGCCCTGGCATGTGATATCAACCAAGCACAAAACCCTCAAAAGAAAGGAAATACGGAAACTCACCTCATCAACTTTCCGCCGCTCGTACACCTCCCCATTGGAGCCCACAACCAGTATCGAGACGCCCCCCCCCGGAAGGGCAACCGCCGGCCCGACCGGCGCCGCAACCAATACCGCCCGCCCCGGAATCTGCCCATGCTCGTTCCAGCTCCACGCGGTACCCCCCCAGAGGATTTCGACGAGTCCCCGGTTCTCCGAGCGCAGGAAAAGGGAGCCCTTGGTGGTGCCCGGGGGACGGAGAACGGCGCCGGGCTGGGGGGCGAGCTGGATGTAGGAGGGTTGGCCGAAGAAGAGCCACTTGCGAACGACCGGGTTGAACTGCAAGTGCAGAAACACAATCGGTTTCGTTAGCAGGGTCGGTCTTGTTGATCAGGGCCGAAAAGCGTTGTTACCTTAGTTTTCAGGTGTTCCGAAGTCGAATGATAATCTAGCCAAGCAGGCCGTACGAGGGCTAGGGGAAGAAGAGCCACCTTTGAACCACCGGGTTGAGCTGCGGGGGAAAGGACGATTGGTCCATTCACAGGGCCAGAAAGTGCTGGGAGTTTTGACACTCGCGATGTTCCAGACTTGGGTTATAACCAGCAAAGCAGGGAGGTGCGAGGGCTGGCAGAATAGAAGAGTGACGTAGATGAGACGCAGTTGGAGGCAGCAAGAAAAGCATTCGGTTTTGCATCCAGTGCGTGAGGGCACATGCACCGACGTCGCGACGTCTTTTCCCCAAGAACTTCGATGCCGTCTTGCGACTGTGACAACAACAGAAAAGCGCTCGGGATCTCCATATAGTGCGCATTTTGAGGGGGTTCTGCGGACCGAGCTCAGAACAATCGGACTTGCACTCGCAATATGGAAACCAAGAGCCTTGTATGTAGAATCTGCCAGCAGTAACGGCACCTGAGTCTAGCATCCTGAGCCCCAGCATCCCGCCAACTTTTGTGTCTTAAGCAATTACACGGAGTCACAGAGACACGGCTTCAAGCATCTGCTTCGGTAACCTTGAGGGGAATCATAGGCTGGATCAAGAGCGAACCGCTGCAAGCTTACCTGGTAAATCCGAGCATCGGTGCCAACGCAAAACACGCTCCGGACCCGCAGATTCCCGTGGTCTGCGATACCGGCAACGGAGACTCCGGCCCAGGGTGTGCCCACGTCGTGCCAACGCGGCCCCCCCTCGTCGAGCTGCAGAAGCGGGAGCGACTCAGTCCTCTGCTGGTTCCAAACAGTGAGTTTCTTACCTTTCTCCTTTATGCTTCTGCGTTGAGAGCTTTTGTCTTTAAGGGCGCGATATTTCGCTATTATGTTTTGCTTTGTTCTTGAGGCGCCCCATCCGTCCAGAAATACGAGAAGTCTGCAACGAGTCCGGAGAGCGTTCCCCAATACCCTCGGTTCTTCTGAGGTTTAATAGGGCGCCAGACCAGGAACACCTGGGTGCTTGCTCTGCACCGGGCACAAGCTCACGGCGTCTCGATTGCAGACACGTGAAGCGTCCCCAGCAATGCAACACATCTGAGTTGGAAGGCTTCGACTAAGCACACACATCTGTGCCCCTCACCCACCAACGAACTTCCAGTCATCTTAACCTAGCACAAGTCAAGCTCTGCGCTTTTCGACTCTTGAGGAATTCAACCGGCAATAAGCACTGCCCTAAGACCGGCGCTCTCTACCGGTCACCAAAAAGGAGGTATTGGATTTGAATCAGCTCACCTCAAACTCCATAAGGTTGCCGGTTTCGCTGACAAAGTACAGCGGCGCCTCCGGCTGTTCCTTGTTCTTATTCGCCGCAGGTGGCCAGTCGACCGGAAAAGCGCCCCTGACTTCGGACCCGTTGGGGGGGCTGACGTCCTGCCAGTTCCACCCCCCCGAGATGCGCTCCCGCAGCCAGAGGTTGCCAGCAACATCGACGGTGAATAGTGAGCCGTTGAACGCAGCGGAGAGGGCGGCCGTTTGGGTCCTGGAGAGAGGAGAACGGGTTTTGGCATTTGATTCTGGCAGGGTTGAGAACAGGAAGATTTTTTCCTTACAGGACATTCGAAGCCACTGGTACTTTCAAAGAAAGAGGTTGATAGGGACAGAATGTAGGAAGAGACTCAGAAGTGTATTGCAGGACATGCAATTCTCAACGACCGTTTCCAGATTGACACTCACGTATTCACCAAATCAGGCGGCCGAAAGTTGCTTGAAAACGCCAAGGGTTGGAACGTAGCGAGTGTGTGCGCTTTCATCTCAGACGTTAAGGAGTGAATAGCGGATCATGCTGCCATTCGGTATTCGTATGATTGATTTCAGGCGACTCTGTTCGAAGCAAAGCAATCGACCGAGTCAAGTCGAGGCGCTACTACTTCCAAAAAGCATAAGACAGCGTCAGCAAGTCCTGGTTGGTTGAGGAAAGAGCCTCAGCCACAAACGCGCATCACTGCCTTGTCAAAATTGGGCAGACTCGCTGCGGGTCACTTTTCACGCTCGGACTTGGACAATCGGAGCAGGCGACTTCGTTTTCGGGCTCTAGCAGCATTGTACAGTGCACACGAGCAGGAGAACAAAGAATGGAAGCGTGACGGTAGTCGTCAGAGGCTCGATCAAGCGGAACCTAAGAATCCCCTAACGGATCATAGAAAAAATAAGGAGAAAACATCAGATGCATTTGATCTATGAAGAGAAAGCCGGGTTCTATTCATGAAGAGAAGGGGAGACCAAATGAGAGAAACGCATCTAAGCCACCGCAAGTTCGAGCGTATTCGAAATCTGTCAAAGTAAACGCCTCCTCACTGCTTTGTTTCTCTCGCAGAAACGCTTGACCCCCTGTCAAGACCAGCCCACTCGAAGGACTTTACAATCCTTTTAGTGGGAGATTGGCATCAGTTGTCGCTTCCACAAGTCAGGATTGAGCATACATCAACACTGCTCGCTTCTGCAGGCACATCACCGCCACACACGAACATATGGTCGTTTTATCAACGCAATCAAGATACCGTGCTTTACGTTGACAAGCTTAGGCTGCGACCGGAGCTTGCGAACAAACTACAGCAGATGGGGGCACGGCAGGACATAGAGTGTTCAGCAGATTGCCAGGCCTCAGATCCCCAACACGTCCAAAGCAGCCTCAAAATGCCCCAGAAATGTCAGTTCGTCGTTGACAGGAAGTGGAAGGTAAAAGCAAACAGTGCGAACCGCCAACTCGAGACGGACCTTTTCGATTGACAAGGTACTTCAATCACCCGCAGCGGAAATCGCTGCTAAGAAGGCAAACCGCAGCGGAGACAATGGCAGCATCAAACAAGGACCATCTACTGAGGCGGCGGTCTTTCGAGGCCCCATCGAAATGGTCGCTGTACACTCTACATCCTTGCTCCCACGAAACAACCTCATCCTTACGAAGTACAAAGTAGGAAGACGAACCACGCGGATAACGCCGGCTGAACGATAATCGGTGACTCTAGAGGGTGTACCGGAAGCTTTTTCAAGCCCTTGTCTTCGACGAATGATCGCAAATGATCCACCTTTTCTGTTCATATAAAAGAAGCGGCCACTGGAAAGTGAAGGCGCATTTGCGCTTAATAGCCTGACTGACGACAACAGTATCTCTTGGCTGGTGCACTCATCGCTCCACGTATTCCTTAGCAGTGCCGGCCTTTGCTGGACCAATATAGCATGAAGCGTCGACTTGGAAAGAGCCCCGTTGCTCAGAAACTTTTACCTGTCGTGGGCGATAGAACGGAACCTTGCATGCTACCCGGACTCGCGACAAGCATTCGAAGGAGCGTCAGCTCTTCACCAGGCGCATTTGAGGCAGTAACCAGAGATGCCCCAGACAGCCAAGCGCATCACAGCCTCTCCTGAGACCAGCAGTCACCATAATACGATTTGAGACAAGAGCCCGGGAAGAGCATCAGCACAAGCGGGTTGCTTTGAGGCAGTGTCCAGAGACGCCCCAGGAACAAAAGCGAATCACAGCCTTTTCGGCAACTAGCAGTCACGGCATTCACAATCTCTACAACAAAAGCAACACCGTTCACCTCTGCAGAAATTATGACTCTCCATTCATATATGAAGAACGTTGCGACAGAATCCAGTTCGTTTCGGCTGCCACTTCTAGGAGAAGCTTTCGGTGAAAGAGCTAAGTGCTGTAAAGCTCGACAACTCCTATCCTTTCACGGGATGGTGCGGAAGGTGAACGAAGGTCCCTTCCGAATCCGCCGTCGTAACAGCCACACACAAGAGCTGTCCAGAAATGCCGCTGCTTTGAGCGGTCAAGCACGTCAGCACCGGGGGTCCTTTCCATGAAAATAGCAACGCATATTGCAGGCACCACGCCTGAAGGGGATGTAGCGATTCTCAACGTCTCCAGCACTTCTGTTGGCTACCGCCTTGCTGGTGAGTCGGAACCGACTGAACTGCATAGGTTGGCAACACCATAGGTTGGCAACACCAGCGAGTTGGGCCCCTTCTTCTGTCAGTGAAGATGCGAGCACAACAAAAGATGACAAGCACTGAGGTCTCAGCAAATCCAACCGGCGAATAGCGCGGTTAAAAATAGGGGAGTCTACAGCAGGCCATATGCACCAGCCAGTCAGTGACACGGAAAATACACAAAGCTCAAGGAAGCCCTTCAGCTGCGCGCACGTCCTTGGCCGTTTGGCTAAATCAAACTTGCCCCAACTCATTGCAGACCAAGAAAAGATACTGATTGCAACAGAACATCAATCAAGCACTTCACCCACTGAGCCTTGCATTCAGCAGAAAAACCGATTCTGGCCGTGATTTGTTGCAGCGCCTTGAATAGACACTCTCTTTGCATCAAGCAACAAACTATTGAAGCTTAACCAGAAAGCGGGCGTTGGCATCAAGCGTTTGGACCAAACCATCTGTGGGGAAAACCTAAGTGCGCGCCCCAGTTCCACTAGCATCACAGCCGCTGCAAATTTGGTAGCCTGAACCAGCGAGATGCACCATAACATCTCCGATAAAACAAAAGAAGCATAAAGGAAGACAAGTTACTTTCGACGTGAGGTGCAATACACGGCCCAAGTAAGAGCTTCGCATGTTCTACTGGTCATTTCTGTAAAATGTGAGGGCAGTGAACCGTACAAAGGAGTCCGAGTTGCGATTGCTTGCATGGGTTCGTCTTTGAAGCGGGTGAGTGTCGTAATGCGGGTGAAGTTTCGACAAGACCAGACCGGAGTGCAGTCAAGAGACGAAGCCGTTGGGCACGTGCCACAAGAACCGATGATGCCTGACATCAGCACAGCGAAGGGCTGGAAGAAAAGCTGCTGCATATGCTCTCGCAAAGGGATCATGCGAGTGCTCTTAGCAACACATCCGTAGGCAGACAATAGATCTCTTTGATAAGCATAAGAGCGCACTGCTTCTGCCATAATAATCTCTCTCTTAAAAGAATACCGATGTTTCGTAAGTTGAGCTGCATATCGATCCCCTTGACTACTGCCATTGTTATTCCACGACCCCCAGTAATGTCAGCCTTCGCAGAAATAACGAAGCATGAAGCGTCGGTTGGAAAACCGCCTCGCTGCTGAGAGACTTCTACTTCGGGCATCAAGATACGTCCGTCCTTCTTTTACAAGCTTGAGAAACGAGCGTCAGCACTTACAAGGCACGTGCCATTGAGGCAGTGTCCAGACACGCCTCGAAAAGACAAGCGCATCACAGCTTGTTCACGACCAGAACAAACCACATTCCGGCTTGTTCCGGGAATATGAGAACACCGTTGACCTCTTTGAGACTTATCACTCTCAGTATAATGTAAGCAGAACGTGAAAAGAAAATTCAGTTCGTGTCAAGGGGGTTCTGATTGGAGCATGCCAAACGCCACGAACACGACTCGATTATCCTCTTTCACATGATGGACTACGCGGTGGGCAAAATGCGCGAAACGTACCGTACAGTTTGTGTCCGCCGATTGAACAAGCAAGTTCACATTTCGTTGACAGATGCTGCTGATTCGAAGCAGTCGAGCGAGTCAGCACACCAGCAGTCGGTCTGGAAAATGAGAAAGCAACGGGAAGTCTGGGCACCATGCCCAAAAGGCGATGAACATTCCAACATCTCCACTCGCTCTTCTTGAGAACCGTTGTGATCATGCCAACCGACTCCTCAGATTCTTGAAATGAAGGTTTGGCGACGACCTTCGTCAGGCCCCTCTTCCAGTAAAGGGACAGGCACGACCGAAGAGGACGATCTGCGACAAAGGCCTCTACCAAGGGCGCTTTGGGAGCTGCCGCAGCTTTTTAAACCCACAAGCAGACATTATTCTATCTATGGAGAATATCCGCAGAGACACGCCGTTCGATAAACCGTGGCATGAAGCCCCATGCTTTCTTCTCGTCAAGTGATTTAAGTTAGACCAATGCAGCCCCAGCAAACACTTTCCTCCACTGAGAAGACACGCCGGGCGACTCTGGGAATGACCACTCCTTCACAAATCTGGCAGCAAACTGCTGCGTCCGGAATGACGAAGCATCGGGCTACCCATTGCAAACCACGCGCGGCTGTTCTGTGGCTTCAAGTTGCCGACGGGAGTTGAGCGGATTCGATTGGGATCCCTCTCATCATCACCAAGCATCACTGCCACTGAATACGAAAGAAGAGTCCGCCTGGGCCCGACTCCGAGGCTATCAGTACCTGATTGACGTCCGTATGTCCAACAGACCCAGATCCCTTCATATAATGGGGACACACTCCATCCTCGTTTTCTCAGCAATTTGCTTAGAGAGGCCCTTTTAGGTCTTCTATAAACGCCTTTAATGATTTGACAAACAAACATGCTGGATGCCATACAGAAACCCACTTAAAGGACACCAATTAGTCACATTTTCTCGATGAAGCTTGAGAGGGCATCAACATTGACAGATCAGGATAAGGCTAAGGACCTCATCCTTTGCCGCATCCTCGCCATCTCTGAGAACTCAACTAAACGGTCATTTTTTGCGGAAAGCC